TGAAGCAATTTCTAAGGGTCTTAAAATAACTGCATTCATTCCACCTTAAAACTCATGCTGGGCAGAATGGACTTAGCTTATTTTTAAAGTGTAGGCCATGGTCTTCAAAGAGATATAAACATTTTCCAAAGCAATACATCTTTGATCAATTACATGCTTAGACTAAAATATACTTTTGAAAGAAAACTAATAGGCAAAGGTCACAGAAAAGTGCTAGCATAGTTCTTCCTACCTGTTTTCAAATTCTCTCTCTGCCCATCAAAAGGAACCACGGCATTTGGTCACAATGAAGTTTGAAGATAACCTCGGGTCACTCTCAGAGTTCCCATTCTTTGAGACTTCCTAGGGTCCTCAATACCCTTCAGAATTTTTGCTCATGTCAACTTAAACAGTGAAAATATTTTCAAAATATCTACAGCTCAGAGGAAAATATTACCTTAATTCTCATTCCCTTGTCAGCAACACAATAACAATGTAGCTAAGGCAGTTAAGGGAGACAGAGGGAGTGCCCTGTGTGATCTTTTCAACTACTGTTAAAATGTTCCCTCCCTTTGTCACATTTCTTAGTCCTAGCTGGTCTATGAATCTGGGCTTATTTACATAATTGTAAGCATGTAAATGGGAAAACACACATACACCAACATATACACATCTACATACACACGCGTGAACTATAATAGTTGGAGAAATATGGCACACTCCACAGGAAATCAGTAAATACCCATTTCATTGAAAATGGCACGAAGTCAGAATTCTTTGTATGCATTACCACAGGGAGTTACCAGCCCTAGGTACATACAGAGGGCATGCACTGCAAAGGACAGACACATACAGTACATATTTAGAGACAATTTTAATTGAACTTAAACCCTAGACTTGGACCCTAAGGACATGACTGTACTATGTGATGATAGTAAGTCTATGGCATTTGCTTTTCTTGCAGGGAAGCTAAAACGCATCCCACCCTTCAGAAAAACCCAAAATTGATGATTCAGGAGTTTTGCTGGTTAGAAATCTTTTCTTTCAGTCCTATTTTTCTCAGCAGTCAAGGGGAGGGTAGAACAGCTGTCCTTGAGCCGAGTTTGCCACGCCTACTGGGAAACTAACCCGTGCTGTCAGATGATATGGTTTTGACGTTTAAACAACGGACTAGTTGAATTAAAGACCAACTCCAGACTTGATGTTGCTGAGCTCATCAGCTCCATCTTGCCATCCTGATTGATCGAGGAGATGGGTCTATAGTTAGAGTGTCATAGTACTTTGACTGGTTAGTCATTAGAACACTGCTTTCTCTTTGGAAGGCAACTTCTTGCTTGGCTAGTTTATGGAAGCTAAGGAGTGACGTCAAGATGTTGTCTGGCCAGAATTTGCAGATAACCATAGAACTCTTCTCCTCCATCAGGCATGGATTTAGCCTCCTTTATTTCCTGCAGTGACACAGGAGCCTCCAAATACCAAATTATTATCAGGCGGTCTTGGGGGAACCTCTGGGCCCTGCAATAAAGTAGACAAACTTGCTATTGGAAAGTGCCTGGGAGCAATTCACCCCTGTTCAGATTGCTCTAAAATGCTGCAAACCATCTCTGGATTTTGTAAATGAAAAGCTTGCATAAATGCTATTAGTGAGAAGTTTCTTTGGGGGATAAAATTTATGACCATCCTGTATGTAAATAATCTTAAGTAATTGTTTAAAGAAATCTGGACTGAGTATGTTCTTTCTTTGTTCTTTTGTTTTGAAAGCGGCGCTGTGCAAACATGGAGGCTGTGTCATTTTTGGACAAGCTGCTTCTGAGCATTGTCTGTAATATAAGGTGTTTAAATAACTGACCTCGAAGGTCAAGCAGGTATGACTTATGGACCAAATTTAACTCATCCTATCAAAGTGTGTTGTCATTATATGATATCTTTCACCACTGGCCTCCCTGGTGACAACCCTGAGGGCAAGGAGCTCATCATCATTATCACTGACTTTCCAGTTTCTAGCATTGTAGGAATATTGTGGGCAGTCAGTAGACATTTCGTGAGTGTCACCGTCTCAATATTGGATTCTTACAATGCAGTGAAATGAGACCAGGATAACTCTTTGTAAGATGGATATATATAAAGGTTGATATCTTTGAATAGCATATGACTTGAGAAAAGAGAATTAAATATGCTTGTTTGTGGTCCAAAGCTCTGATAGTTCCAGAGATTGGTGGTGAATTATACATGTGATATTTTGCTTTAAGCAAATGGGTCAAGTCCTAGTCTGTTTGTATTTTCCTAAATATGTCTTTCAGATATAAACTGTGCAATATATTGAGAGAAACCTTCCTTAGATGTTCTTCACAGATTTTTGGAAATATTCAATAGGAATCATTTAGTTGAAAGTTAATCTCACAAAATGTAATGGTTTTATAGTAACATATCCCTTTGAATGTCAGATCTATGCATTTAAAATACTTTAACTTCTGAATAACTTCAATTAGGATGGTCAAATAAGTTTTTGTTAAAAGATTGTTTCTGCTAAAGATATTATCTAAATATCTAGTAGATATTTAAATGGCTAGTAGATCCTTAAATATCTAGCAAATAAATGAGGATGTAGGTAAGTTTAATAGGAATAGAGTCAATGAAAAAAGCTATGAATCATCTTGTTAAAAGTTTGTTAGCCATTCATTAAGTGGTCCACTTAATAACTGATCAACTTCAGGCCAGCATCAAAGTTAAATCACATCCATACTATGGAATAATAGTTCACAGAGTTTCTGCTCTCTAGGAGCTTACAATCTAACCTAAACAAACACATACATGAACAGAAGCACATACATGTAAATGATCACACTTAGGACCTGACAAAAGGCAACAGATACAGTGAAGATGAAAGAAAAAATATATAGCACAAAGAATGGCAGTTAAGAAAAGGGAAAGGAGAGAAAAGAAGTAAATTGCTTCTTCATTTCCATTCCTTGAAAAAGTATTTATGGAAGATGTATGATTTCAATTCTTAAAATAATTAAAGAGTAAGTGGTTTAATGCCTAGAAGAATGAAAATTTTTTCTGACATAGATGTGACTTACCGATAACACTGTGTCAGGTGAGAACTGCTGGTCAAGGGCCCAACAAAAAGTTATAGGGAGAAACTGTCAAACAGACACAGAAGCCGAGCAGATGCTACAGGCATCCTCAACTCCCTTCTAATTCTTCTAAGTGGGGTGGAAGAGATTGAGCCACAAAAAAAGACTCCTCCAAAATAGTCAAAATGTCTGGCTCCACATCTTCGCTAAAGTCTCCATGGAATTAGAATCTAGATTAAGAAAATGGCCTTTGGGATCTCCCTTGTAGAATGTGTGAGCCCCTCTAGTAAAAACACACATTCACAACTGTCTGGCTCACTTTTCCCATAGGGCATCCTTTTTTTTTGTTTGTTTGTTTGTTTTCTTGCTCATTTGTTCATTTTCTCTTTGCCCTGTTGGGCTGATGCTATTTACTTGATTATTCAGCTTTAGCTTCCCTCCACTGACAAATGAAAGCAAACTTTTGAGGATAGGATGATCTTAGTGAACTTCGTTATATTACAGCCCAAGGCTCACCAAATCACATCATACAGACTAGTGCGGTGAGTCAGAGGTGTCAAGTACTCTATTCCTATATATAACAGTCAAAAGGTTGACAGATTTTCCCATCACAGTATCTTGTGTTGCCTTATTTAGTATTTTACTATTATTCATGCAAATCATTTCAAGCACCTTTGAAAGATTCTTAACAAAGAATGTACATTTTAAGCAAAGCCTCACACCTCTTGTTCACAGCATACTGATAACATTAGATTGATGTTATTTTAAGAAGCTCAATAATCTTCAGTATTGTATTTATTAGTGACTATTTTATTTATCTTGTCATATTACATTTTCAACTGAAATCTATAGTGTGGTCCACTCTCTCATATTACAAACGTATAATACAGTTCTTTCTAGCATTTAAACTCAAAGTCAATGTAAAATCTACCTTGCAATAAACTTGAATGAATCACAGAAAATTCAGATGTTTCCTTATATATAAAGATAGCCATTGCAAAACACCCTTGTCTTATGGGGCTTCTCAATGGAACATCAGTACCCATAGTCTAACCTTGCAATCATGCTACCTTACCTTCAAAGAGGGGTGAAGAACAATATTTATGATGGGATAAGAAATGCAAACAGGCACTAGGTATCCATTCATCAGTGCCAGAAATTTCTAAAATCTGAGCCACCTATTGTTTTAACCTTCCTGGCTGCTTGTTCATGTGTGAGGAAAGGTTTGATGTTCTAATGGCATAAACCTATTAATATTTGTCCACAGTTTTATTTTTGTTGTTGTCTTCAAAGTTGTGTTCCTACTTATTTATTTATTTATTTATATGAGCAATGATTCAGAAAAGAGAGTGAAAGTTTCTGAGAAAAAGTCCAAGCTCCCCAAGAGAGTTTAATGGGCTTATTTGATTCTGAGAAATGTAATCTAGCAGATTTAGCATGCACATCATCCTTTGATGTCTCTTCACCATTACAGCAGCACAAGTTACATGCTGGGAAGTAGAAGTGAACAGAGAACACAGAGCTATATGAGCTGAAACCCCTTGCATGCAACATAGCACCTTCCATCACCACTGCTGGTGTTCATTTTAATGACTCTCAAAATTAAAGCTCATCAATTTCTTGTCTTTTGTTAAGGTACATGGCTTTTAATAGCATTCTGGTTTCTCTATTTTAAGATTAAAATGCCTTGATTTCAACTTCATGTTGACAGATAGTTTTGGAAATGGATCCCAAGAGAAATCATTATCTACCATGGCTCCAGTCCCAACTGGAAACAGACCTTGATAATCCCATAAGAAAAAATACTCCATGGGCCCAAAGGCCCAAGAATCTTCCAAGATTTCACTGCCCCCTCCTCAGTCATCCTTGTGAGGGGCTATGATAAACATACTGTTGATATAGCTATGCAACAAATGGGTAATAAGTGTAAGCAGCTGTACTTACATGTGTCTGGCTTAAGCTGACTGTTGGTGATGCCAAAATACTGGGGATTTTCAATAACAGGGATCTTGGTCATTCCAATGATGACGGCATCAGGGCCGCCCTCTGAAGATGATGGGGTGTTACTCCCATTGGAGATGTGGTGGAGTGGACTGGCAGAGTCATCATCATTGCTGATAACTGAAGCTGGCCCTAGAGTTGGAAAAAACACATATTCTCCTGTAATTTTTAATACCTCTGTTTAGCTATAATTCACATCCATAAAATCCACTCATTTAAAGTATATAATTCAGTGGGTTTTAATACATTCAGGGAGTTTCGCTTCCATTCCTATAACCTAGTTTTAGGACATTTTCATCATCCAAATTAGCAGTTATTCCACATCTTCCCCACCCACAGCCCTAGACTTCCATGAATTTACTTTCCTTCTTCATTCTCTCTATTCTGGACATTTCATATAAATGGAATCATAACATATGTGATTTTCGGGAATATTTTCTTTCCTTTAAAATGTTATGTTTTCATGTGCATTCGCTTTACAGCAGGTATCATGATTAATTTTTATTGTCTTCTAACATTTATATCACAGATAAGCCACATTTTGCCTATCTGCACGTTGGATGGTTTCATATTTGGGACTAATATACAGAGTGTAGTTGTGAGCATTCCTGTACTAGTTCTTTGTGGACATACATTTTCATTTCTCTGGTTGGAATTGCTGGTAGCTCTATGTTGAGCATTTTCTGCTGAACTGTTTTCCAGAGAGACTGTTCTATTTTATATTCCCATTAGCAATTGTGAAGCTTCCAATTTATTTACTTCCTTCTCCTATAATTTAACATGCAGCCTTCCTTTCTATTCCCTGAGCATCTTCAGAAGACTCTTTCATTAAAACTCCATGCAAGAATGTACAACTCCTTTCTCACAGTGATGTACTAAGAATTCAAAGAGCTAAGTTCCTTTCTCTACTCTTTGGGCAGTCACTTACCTTCTTTGTGCCTCTGTATTCACTCACATTTGTAAAATACACAAAACCGTACATTCCTATTATTTTATGAGGTTGAAATCACACTACTGATGTGAAAATGGTTTGCCAATTTAAATGTGTTTCATGAACATGAATTACTAGAAGAATTACTGAGTAAACTAACAACTGGTGGTCTAGAAGGACACTGTACTCTCCCATTACTATGGTCCTTTTCCCCCTTATATTGTCAACATCTGTACTACTTTTGTTTACAAAATACTTACATCATAATGACAGCAATACCCCATGACAGCTATCTGTTTTGCCTTTTAACTAATTTTATTTGCAGATTAATCATTATTTGCAAATGTTTTCATACAAAAGTGATAACTGTAGCATTTTTCATAAGTCTCTGAATTTTTCATTTCTAGTCTCTGAATGGATGTACTCAGAAATATAGACAATATAGACTCTGTCTTATATAAACACTTTATACCCATTAACCACTAAACTCATACTGTTCATGACCAAAACTGCATTCACAAAGATAAATGTTGACATGAAAGATTCAGGGGTTTATTTCTAATGAGGAAAAGTTCCCTCGAGGTATGTTACACATATTTCTGCAGTGCACCAAAATGGGTCCAGGGTCCCATGGAAGCAGATCTCTGACCACAGTCACTTGCATAAGCCCATAAGAAACAAGAAAGAAAGAAAGAAAAAGGCAGTGAGAAGGCACAATGGGTCACCCAGTACCAAAGCGGAAAGGGAAGTATGAATCACAACTTCCTGAGCAAGGATATGCATCCAGCCTCCAAGATGCAAGTTTCAATGCCTCCACTCATTTACCCCCTTTTCCCTCGCACTTAACTATTTCCGTAAGAAGCACAGCAATTCTGAAAACAAAAGTTGTGGTGTCAAATGAAATCACAATCCACCACATACCTTCCAAGATCCATTTCCCCTCATACAGGGACTGTCAGTTTGTAATAACAACTGGACATTCCCTAGCCAGTTGAAACTTAAACAAACTATGCTAAATTATTCTCTCAAGGGGATGTGGTTTAATTCTGCAAACAAGTCCTCCTCGCACAGCCAATTTAGAAGCCACAGAACACTCAAAGCAAAGGCAAGTTTACCTACCAATTGTGCTCATCTTGTGCCTCACTTACCAGCGTTTGTTAAGAGTAGGATTCTGCTAACAAGAGCTATCAAGTTCTTTCTAATACCCTTGACTACACCTGTTTTTTGCTTTGCTACCTAACAGGTCTTGAGCAGTCAGAGCTTAAACCTAAAAATGAAAAATGATTACGCATATGCTAAGGTCTCTGTGTATTGTCGATGGAACCATCATGGTCCCTCAGCCCTCCTGGCACAGCTGATCCTTCCTTTGAGGTTCCTAAAGCACTCTGCCACCTGAGCTTCTCAAAGGGGTGCAATCAAGGCATACATTTCTCAAGAGATTATAGGTGGCACATTTTCCCCAGGAAGGTAAGCATTGTCATGTTCAAGTACTGTCAGTAGACCAGCAAAGTTGTTCCCAGAGCCCCAGCAATGACTAGAAACACACTAATCCCAACTGCAATCTGGTTCTCCTTTGGTGCAGGAATCAACATTCCTGCAGCCTTCAATCCTCTTGGAGGAGGCTGATGCCTGGAAAATAATGTTGAGATTCCTCTTAGTAATTCAGGCTCTGAGTCATGTACAGACTTTCATGTACACAGTAGAGCCATTCTCAAAGAGTTCAACCAAGGGGCTTGATCTTTGTTTCTCCTCCACCACCAAGGACACTCATTCCTGGTCTCTCTGAGTAAAACCCCTGCCTCAGGTCACAAAGTACAAGGGAACAGGACCTTTGTCTTTCTAGAGAAATATTTTAACCTAGAAGTGTAATAAAGCACCCAGAATAATTTTTCAAAAGGCTTTGCACTTTGCCAGCAGGTTGCTGTTGACAAATCTGAGCAACATAAATCTCAACAATTTATCAAGTGGAATATTAATTCAAGTGCTGTTTTCTTCATTATTGATGTTTCAAATCCTGGAAGATGGATATGGCCGGCAAGGTTGCAGGGATGTAGCCCATTTTTCTAGGAAAATTTTGATCTCAGGGAAAGTACAGCAAGTTGTGAAAAGGGAGATGCTCTCAGCAGGGACAATGAATGTCAATATAATTTGACAGCAGCCTGTCTGTGACTGTCATGGGAGGTGTCTTTGTGTGTCTGTGCACGTGCTTGAGGAGACACCAGGAAAAGACAGAAGAGAAAAATCAGGGCACATCATAGTGTGTTAAAAGAAATTTATCTGAGGACTAGGAAAATCTTATTGTAATATTAATGAAAAGTGTGCTGAGTATGTGCACACTTGCGGAGTTTGTGGTAGATGCCTGGAACATTTTTAGCCCATTTTATGAAGTAAGTCTCAGTTGCAAAGAGCCGTTTTCTTTAATCAGATTCACTCATAATGCAGCCTGCACATACAACTTTGCAGACATCTCCCAACTGATCTTCAGGTTATTTTTCTACATTAAGAAAGGTTGAAGGTTGGGCCCTCCGCGGTGGCGCAGTGGGTTAAAGCACAGCATTAAGAAGCTTAAGGCCACTTCCACATGAGTTCGATCCCCACCTGTCCCAGAGGAGACCACATGGCACGGCAGACCTCTCCTGACCTGCCCACTGCTCCCCTCAGCAGTATAATTCGTCGATCTGCCTGTTCTGCTCCCCACTCTGTCTCTGGTGAATCCTCTCACCCTCCGCATCTCTGGCCTGTACCCCATTCTGTATAAATAAATAAATCTTTAAAAAAAGAAAGGTTGAAGGTCATCTGAGAAAAGACTCTCTTAGTCTTCATGACCAACAATGCCTTCAGATGAGGGGAAAAGACACTGCTCTTGAGTGACTGTGTATCATAGTCTGTATCTGATGCTTCCACACCTGTGACCTTGCTGATCTGGAGGGACTGTCCTCTTTAGAGATGATAGACAGCATGCCACACCTAATTATCTTTCATATACAGACCTAGTCACCATTGACAGCCTGCCACCACCCTGCCTCCTACTTCTCATTAGGCAATGATGCTCCAGGCACTACCCATCTCTGCTATCACCCATGGCCAGGTTCCAGACAACCCTGCAGCACATGGCCACCCAGCCTAGCCAGCCCCAAACCCGAGTACACTGCCCAATGACCCCTCTTACAGCCAAAATTTTGTCACCCAACTCCTCCCCCTGAGTCACTGGTCCCTCTGCAGTGTACTTCAGTACATCTGCCTGTTCTGTTCCACATTCTATCTCTGGTGAATCCTCTCACTGCGGCCCACCCCTCCAACACACACATCTCTGGCCTATACCCCAGTTCTTGTATGCATAAATAAGTAAATATTTTAAAAAAGAAAGAAAAGATTGTACAGGAAGGGCAGTTTTTCTGGTAGCTTGGTAAAGTGCCTATGATGAGTGGTATCTGAAATCTGCTCCTGGGGAGAGGGGTCAAGTCCTGAGCTGAGTAAACTTATTTCAGTTTTGCCACATCTCCCTTCTCCTTTGCTTCATCTTTGTTTCTCCTTTGCTGGTTAAGAGCTTTCACCCTGGAATTCCAGGGGCCAGTTTGAAGCAAGGTGACTTCCCCTTAGAGCCCTGTCTGGCCTGGTATGCGTCAACTACCACCCTGAGGTTTAGTTCTTCGTCATTTTCAGATCACTGGACAGATATCCATAGAAACTGTCCAGTAGGAAAGGTCTGATGTTGGCTCAAAAAAGGAGAGAAATAGGGTTTCCTTGTGTGGATGGGATGAACAGCTGTGGGGCCAATGACTCAAGCCCTGATGCCTGCACCCTTCCCCTGCTTTGCAATTTACCTATTGCTAACCTTGCTCTCAAAATAAATTGTAATCAAGAGATGCCCAAGATGGCCAGATCTGAGAAACACATGCAAGATGTAAGACAGTCTTGTCTTTTCATGCCTTCTAAGTAATTTCTGCTCATTGTCTGTGTACCCATAGAAAATACTGCACAAATTGGAGGTCCTTGGAGATCACACCTGATTTCAATCCAGTGATGAGCTACATTATCTGCACTCATTTGGTAACTACAAACTACAAACTTTCCAGCCGTCAGCACACAGTCTGAATGGGAGGAATAGAATGCAATCAAGCACAAATCATGTCTGGACATTAGAGTCTTGTTACGAAAGAGAAATGGCCACAAATGAACAGTGATTTACCAATTGAGAAAT